ATTTAGCTGTTGCTGCAACAGAATTATATGCATGGTCTTAAACCTGGGAAACTAAGAGGATGGAAGTGCCACTAACAGAAAGTGGAAACAACATAGAGTAACTAAGTTGACCTTAAACTGCCTTCTGCCTTCTCGAGGAGGCCAGCTGTCCATACAGTAGGTAGGCACCTCCTTAATATTTGTTTCAGTCTAATTTCACTTGGCTACAAAATGATAGAGAGACATGTGAGTGGTTCTGTCTAGATAGCCCTGGAACAGTTGATGTGGGTCGCGTGGCTCACATCTTTCTCCTCAGCCTCTATACTTCCATTCATACTATTTTCTCAATTAGAAATGCTCTTTTCTTTAGTCAGCAAATACCCAAACCCTCTCTTAGCCTCATCTTCCATGAATTCTGTCTTCCTAACATTTGCCATACGTTTCTTTTTCCTTTGGATTTTTGTACTTTCATCAAATCTGCCTTTTATGAGGTCAGACAATTAAGTTTGAGAACTCATCCTAGAACAAGTGCTGTATACCTCATTGCTGTATATCACTATGGTCCCCTTTGAAGTACTCCCCTTGGGAAGCTTCACACTGACACCAGCACCTAGTCCACCCTTCAAAACACTTTTTCTAGGATGAGTTCATGAACTTAACTGTCAGATCTTGTATGACAACAGCTCTGATGGCCATTCCAGAAAAAGAGTTCTGAAATTGCTTTGAAGGGTGAACTAGGCATTGGTACTGGTGCATAGGTTCCCAAGGGAAGAACCTAAAGGGTGACTGTAGTGATATTAAGCAATGATAGTAGCACTTTTTCTAGGATGAGTTTGCTAACTTATTTGTCTGATCTCATAGCACTTAACTACATTCTTCCTTACATCAGAGTTAGGTACGTGCCTCTTCTATTAGAAGCTCTAAACTTCTGAGGAAAAGTCCAGGACTGACCAGCCTTTGTGTCTCCCACATCTGGCGTTGGTTTGCATGTCATAGGTGCCCAATGTGCCTCTGTTGAATCAATACATGAAAGAATGAACAATTAAAGTATATTTAAATTATATTTAATAAGATATTTAATGTATTCTAGGGGTATATAGCCTGGAGAAAAATCTCCCTAGGAGCCCTATTTTCTTCTGTCATTTGTCATCCTGGTGGCATCACACCAAAGTTAGCATCAGGTATGAGAAAGAGAGAGAGAGATCAAAGTATAGTCTCACCATGCAAGATAAATGGCCATGGTAGCAATTAGCAGAATCACATGGGCTTAGAATGTATTTCCACCTTGTATTTTTCTGGCCTGGTGGACTTTGCTCCCTTTCTCTTCCTCCCTGGCTACACACTGAATGTGGGTGGGTCCAACAGTTGCAAGAACTCAAGGTGCAGAGAAATCAAGTTAACTAGATCTGCCCTAAGATTAGCTTTGACAAATCTAACTGTAAGCTCCCTTACCTGGTTGCCAAGTGACCTACCAAACACTTCTGTTTATATGACATGTGGAATGTAAACTTGGGC